CTTGGCCCAGCCGATAATGATCACTCTTAGGGTCAGGTGGAGAGACACAGAGGCCACTGATTTCACTGAGCACACTTGGTAATGCTGCACCAATTACAAGGAAGTCCCAAGCTCACGTTCTTCTCAATATCCTTCACCCGAGCAAAAAGAAGAGAAATCCCTCTAACTAACACGCCACAGTCACCATATAAGAATACACCTAATGTATTCGACTATTCATAATGAACATCATGCATAAGCTCACCAAATATTTCACTTAAAAAAAAAAGAAAACCCAAGAAAAAAATAAACCTTTGGAAAAAAGCTTTTTTAAAAAAAAATAAATAAAACCAGCAAGAGGTCATCTAAAATCCCCAAATCAAGCTGATGGCTGAGAGCTAATGTGTGATGGATAAAGATGAACTTTGATAAAGGTCCATGGTTGTAGAGGGGCTTCAGGCCTTTAGTTCCTGGGGTCGCTATGAGTCGTGCTTGACTTGACAGCCATCAACAATGACAGTCCACAGAATTGTCATATAACAAACCCAAAATCAAGCTGATGAGTGAGAGCTAACGTGTGATGGATGAAGATATGCTAACCTGTATATAAAACGCAGAAAATCAGAACCACACAAAAGCAAATAAAGAAACTGATAGTTTTGCTGAAACCGAAGTTGTCTTAATACATGTGTCCCGTAAAAACAGCACAGTCCACTATAATTGAGCTTAAAAATAGAACTAATGAGATTTACAAAGAGATTCTATATTATAATGCTTAGTTTTTACATAGATGCAGGTCTTGAGAAAAAGAAATATTGTGATACCATTAAAATACTCAAGGAAAGACTGTAACACTCCTCCTCCAAACCCGAAATATACACAATGGCAAGGATTAAAGATTCAGAGATGTCTGGGAAAGAGGGACTCGAGGACTCAGACTCAGATTTTTAAACTGAAGCTTTCAAAGGTTTTCAGTATTAAAAAATAGGGTCTTGCAATAGCAACCTATTTTGCAGATAATTTTATGTGCCCAACTTATTTGAAATTCTGTGGGCTGGTATTATTTCCAGAATTTAGTAGGTTTTATCACTTTTCTAATACATTTCCAGATCTCTTACCTATTAACCTTAAACCTGGAGGAAGATTCCTAAACTTTTTGTGCCAGAGTGTCCTCCTTTACAGGGTTGTAATAAAAGTCAAATTCTATAGAAAACACTTAGAATAATGTTTTAGAATAGGCACTGTGTTAAGTATCACAATTAAACATTTACCTTAACTACTTTAGGTAATATTTAGCTTAACTACTTAACATTTAGTTAACTACTTAACTAATATTTAGCTTAACTATTATCTATACAACTATCATTTAAAGTAAGACTTAACTCAGGACTTCTAAGTGGTCTCCACTTACCTTCCAGGGGCTTCCCTACTAAATGACTTCCTCTAGTCACACTTGGAAGGAGCCCTGATGGTGTGGTCACTAAATCTTCAGCTGCTAACCAGAGTTAGCAATCTGAATCCATAAACCATACTCCACCAGGAGAGATGTGGCAATCTGCTCCTGTAAAGGTGGCTGTTGTTGTTATGTACCACTGAGCTCAGTATGACTCATAGCAACTCTATGAACTTTGCCCTAGCTTGAGCCAAACTCACCATTTCTGACACACTTGACCCCAGCGTCACAGTCACTGTGTCAATCCATCTCATCCAGGGTCTTCCTCTCCCGCACTGACCCTCTACCCTTCCAAGCATGATGTCCTGCTCCAAGGTCTGGCATATGTGACATGGACTTTCACAGTCCGTGCCTCTAAGGAGCATCCTAGTTCCATCTCTTTGTCTGTCTTGGCTTTGTCTTTGTTCTTCTGGGTACCGTGCCTGCTTGTCAGATGCTTGCTTACTAACGTGGAGCTTCCAGATTAAAACAGACCAGGAAGAAGGACTGGCCATCAACTTGTGAAATCACAGGCCTTGGAAAAATCTGTAAAGATTACAGCTTAGGAAACCTATGGGGCATTTCTATGCCTTCCTATAGGATCACTATCAGTTGCAAATGACTCCAGGGCACATAGTAGTAACTGTCACACTGGAATTGCACACTTCTGAGTTTATTTTTACAATGGCTGGAGATTAATGTAATCTTCAAATGCCCTGTTCTACACACCTACATTTCCAAGGACCCTAAAAGCTTATGTGATACTTCACAACAGGACCCATTCCAGTGGTCTGATTTTAATATTCCCTCTTCTGAGCTGGGATTTGGTTAGTTTTGTTTAATACTCTTAATACAGAATTTCACTAGAGCTAGGGTGATACCTCCCAACTGTCGAGGACTCGCCTTCATAGGGTCGCTATGAGTCGCCTATGACTCGACGGCACTTAACAACAATAACATCAACACGGAGAGAGAGATCAGCTGGCCCAGTGGACAGAAGGCGATGCTACCAAGCCAAAGGTGGGTGACTTTTAATCCACAGCCTTCGGGCCTGTCTTTCATTGTTTTTGTTCAGACATTCCTCTAGGTCGTTTAGCCCTGGTGTACAAGTTGCTGTAGAGCAGTCACTTGTGGTTGCTGTGAGGCTGAACACTGTGACACTGATGTGTCAAATGCGTTAATGGTTGGCTACCCAATGCAGACAGAGAGTGGGGTGGAGCTCCCCGATGAAAACAAGCTTGGAAGGAGGAGTGGCATCTACTTCCATAGGCACCCAAGCGTCGAGGATTCTCCTTCATAGGGTTGCGATAAGTCGCCTGCCACTCAATGGCACTTAACAGCAACAGGGTGATACCTAGCCATATTCATGTCTCTCTCCTTTTTTATGTTGTTTGGATCTGAAGGTTAACAGTACAGACTCAGAAGCCACACTGCCTGGATTGAAACTATACTCTGCCACTTAACAATGGGAGAGTTACTGAAGTTCCCTGGGCCTCAGTTTTCACATTAGTAAGTTAAGATTCAAAACACGTTCTACACATCATCAGACTGTTGCAAGGATTTGAAAAGTTAATACAGGGAAGACTGGAAAAAGTTAACGTAGGTGTTCTTTTGCCAACATCATCAATCAAAGGCATTGATTCTTCTTCGATCTTTCTTACTCACTGCACAACTTTTCCATGCATATGTACTTTGCAACAGATTTTCCCACTACAATACAATGTCTGATGGTTGCTCCCACGGCCGTTTACTGCGGATGCAGTCAAGTGAAATCCTTGACAACGTCAACCTTTTCTGGAAGTCCATGTGGATCACGGATGGTCTGATCTGAAACCTGGAGACAATGCAGGACTGGACAGCTGTTTGTTCTGCTGCGCACTGAGGTCACCATACACAACAGCAGTGTGGGGCTCACTCACTTTCAAATGTTAAATCAATTATGGAATTTATTCCAAGGATGCAAGATTTGCCCGGCATTGGAAAATTAATCGATCACAGCATAGTATACTTTTTTCTGTATTTTTGGATTTGATTCACTAATTTTCTCATTGAGGCTCATGAGGGAAATTGATTTGTAGTTTTCCCATAAAGTCTTTTTTCTATATGTTATCAGTGGAGTGCTGACTTTATAAAAGAAGTTAGAAGTGGTTCTTCTTTTCATCTTTTCTGAAAATGAAAAAAACCTGTGTAGGGCTGGTCTTACTTCTTAAATATTTCAGAGAATTTATCAATGGAAAAAACCCCACAAGCATGTGTCTAAGGCCACTATTTTAAATGACAAAGAAGAGATTTACATATAGATAGAATTCATTTTGGAAGGTTAACACGTATAAAGAAAAAGGGTGGGGGGCAAATTAATAAATGGGTAAGTTCGGCAAAGAAAGGCAATGCACAAAAAGAAAATGATAGTGTCATTACTTTACTATGCTAATCAGTAGTAATTAATAATAGAAAATAAAATGTCTATGAACAGTTGTTTGAAAAACCAACAAAATTTGTAAACTTTTATCCGATTTTTTTTTAATTTATTTTTTATTATTTGTTTCTATGTACCATCAAATCGGATCTGACTGGTACAAGAGGAGCTTGCCCCTCTTTCTCCGGCAGAGCTTCTGGTGGATTTGAACCGCATATCTCTGGGACTGCAGTGCAGCTTCTTGCCACTAGGCCACCAGAGCTCCCCTCCAATTTTTTTTTTAAAAGTGAATATAGGAAAGCTCTTTAGAAGAGTGCGTCCTGAGGGTTTGTAAAACAATGAAAGAATTTTTCTATTACTTTTCTAAGAGGGTAGTGTACTAGGAGGCAGGGTTGGGAGGATAAAAAAGTTCAGCAATGAACGAATGGAAACCCAAAGTCTCTGTAAATTTTCATTGAAATTAATAATAAATGAAAAAAAAAAAAAAAGAGTGCATCCTGCATGTTGTTGTTGTTGTTTGTGTTGCTGCTGTTGTTAGCTGTCACTGAGCAGATGTTGCCTCACAGGGACCGTGTGTGTGTGTGTGTGTAGGAGAACTGCTCTGTAAGATTGTCAAGATTGTGAACTTTCAAAATGCATTACCAGGCCTATTGTTCCCAGTGGTTCTGGGTGAGTTCGAACTGCCAAACTGATAAGCTTTAAGGTAATGACCAAGTTGACTTTACAATACCAAGTGAATCTAACTTATTGTACAAAGAAATACAAATGAGGTAGATAGTATATTCTCCCCTCATCACCACTTCATAGCATATGACCTGTACAGTGCCTCGTGACTACGTACCACAGAGTCAGAAGTGACTCCTAACTGACTAGAGAGTTTTCAGAGCAGTCAGCTGCATGGGAGGAGACTGCCCATCTCTCTCTCGGAGAGCTGCTGGTGGATGTGAACTGTGTGCCTTTGACCGGGGTTACCACTAAGCACCTACCACGTCTTACTGAATTGAACTGAGATTGGAGTGAGAAAAGGTTGGCCTTTGCAATTGTCTTATCAAGAATAATCCCTTTCAAAAACATAAAACGATTAATATGCAGGTCCATATACAACTTAAACAGTGAAAATTCTGTATAGCACAGCACACTAAAAACTATGATGCCCGAATTTCATGTCCTTACCGCATCTTCCATCTTCTTCCACATTCTTTCCAGCTCAGCCATGGGTTGACACCACCAATCAGTGCATCTGTTGTATCGACTGCCTTGAAACGAAAACTGTCTCAGCCACTCAAACTCTACCTGCGGACCAGAAAGACAGCAGTTATAACACCCTTGTGATAGGTTAATATGGAAATGACTTTTTCTAGCCCATTTTCTCCCAGTAACTAAATGGTCAAAGGGGGAAGAAAGGTGAAGAGCACCCCAGCCGGCTGGGCTTCTGAGGGAGTTCTGGAGGCCTTGTCTGTAGACAGCTGCACTACAAACCCAAAGGCAACGCCTCCCTGGCAGTCTGCATCTACCAGCGGCCCCACGGGAGAAGGAAGGGTGCTCTCCTCCCTTGCAATTTATTGCCTCTGAAAGAAAACCTGCATTTCTGCAAAGTCAAGCAAAGAGGAATGAGACTTGAGATGGGTTATCAACTACCTTCACTAGTCAGATGTGAGAAAACTAAGTAATCAATAAAGAGTCCTGTGACCCTGAGGTAGACAGCATTCCGCACCATGTAGCACCATGTATGAGTGGAAGGATATAACTAAACAGGAGACAGTTTTCATTATGAGTGTTATTAAAGATTAGTATTAAAGCAAAATATAAACACATAGCAGAAAGAAGTGGTGATAAGTAACTAATCATATAACTAAAGAATATAAAATTATATAGGCAGACCGTAAATCTGCAAGTCACTCCAACTACCACTGCAACTGAGAGAGCAAATATATACACAAATATGTATATGCATAAAAAAAGAGTAGCAAAGATATTAGGAATTTATTTTATTTCCTAAAGATCAGCTATAGTAAATGCCCACTATTTGACTTGTTAGGATTCCTCCTTCTTCTAATAAACCCCCTATTATTCTAATGTCTAGGGAGGATAGAGGAGAATTGATGCCTTTGAGCTGTGGTGCTGGAGAAGAGTACTGAGGGTACCATGGACTGCTAGGAAAACAAACAGATTCATCCTGGAGAGGGTTAAACTGAACGGCTCCTTGGCGACAAGGATTCTGAGGCTCCATCTAACATACTTTGGACATGTTGTAAGGAGGGACCAGTCCTTGGAGAGGGATGTTATGCTTGGGAGGGTGGAGGGACAGTGCAGGAGAGGAAGACCGTCTATGAGGTGGAGTGATTCAGCTACTGGGGTAATCGGGGTGGATGTGTCAGAGACAGTGAGATTGGCACAGAATAGAGCAGGGTTTGGCTGTTGTACATAGGGTTGCTATGAGTCACAAGAGACTCGATGACACATAACAATAACAACATCTAATAAAAACCTCACTTATGTGGTAAGATCAGGCAACTAAATCTTTACCCAGCCTTGGTCCAGGTGAACAGAAGAGGTCCAGCTCCAAGCCAGGAGTAGTAGAAATTTATGTTGATCTCGTTCTAAACCAATCTAAGCCACCACCTTTTTCTCTAGTCATAGAAGCAGATGAGAAAGCATTAGCTATATTTTCAATCAGAAAATGCCTTGTTGTTTTTAGGTGCCGTCGAGTCAAGTATGACTCATAGTGGCCTTTTAAACAGCATTATCTGAAACCAGTCCTATCCTGCACCTTCTTCACACTTCCTGACACAGAGGAGCCCACTGTGGCAGTCACTGTCAATCCACCTGGTTGAGGGTCTGCTCCTTCGCTGACCCTCTACCCTTCCGAGTATCATGTTTCTCTCAAAGGAAGAGCCCTGCCAGCAAAATGCCTGAAGTCTATGAGGTGAAGCCTCATCAGCTTTGCCTCCAAAGAGCACTCTGGCTGCACCTTCCCTAAGACATATTTGTTGGTTCAAATCCACAAGATGCTCTGCTGGAGAAGGAGGAACAATCTCCTCCTGTACCAGTCAGATCTGATATGATGGTACACACACACAAATAATAATTTATAAAAAAAAAAAAAGACGTATTTGTTTGTTCTTTTGGCCGTCCATGGGATGTTCAGTGCTCTTCTCCAACAACACAGCTCAATGGTGTCAATTCTTCTGTCATCCTTATTTATTATACAGCTTTCAGATGCATAACAAGTGATCAGAAAGACTATGGACTGAATCAGATGCACCTTAGTCCTCAAACTGAAATCATTACTTTTCAGTAATTTGGAGAGGTCCCTAACTGCAGACTTTCCCAATGCAATGTATCTCCTGAATTCCTGACTGATGGGACCAGAGGTGTTAACTGCAGATCCAAATAAGATGAAGTGGTTGACAGTTTCAAGTCTTTTCTCCATCCATCATGATGCTGCCTACCAGTTCAGTGATAAGAATCTTTGTATTCTTGACATTGAGACACAATCCATATTGAAGGCTGTATTCTTTGATCCTCTGTAACACTGCTTCAAAGTCTCCTCACTTTCCACAAGCAAGATTTTGTCATCTGCATAACGCAGGTTATTGCTGCGTCTCCCTCCCTCCAATCCTGATACCACACAATCCTCTTTATAGAATCCAGATTCTTGAATAATTTACTCAGCACACGAACTGAATAGGTATGGAGAGTGACTATAATCCTGACACACTCCTTTCTTAATTTTAAACCATGTAGTGTTCCTTTGCTCTGTTCACCCAATGGCCAAGCATAATTCAGTGCTCTGGGATTCCCATTCTTCTCAATGTTAGCCATAACTTGTTATGATCCACACAGTCTACTGCCTGTGCAGAATCAATAAAGCATAAATAGACATTCTTTTTGTATTCACGTGAAAATGCCTTCAACTATAGTTATTTTGTTTGCCAAGAAGGGGGAAAAACAACACAGTAGGAGGTAGTTGCAAGACGGGGGAAAAAATATCCTCCAACAAATTCTGGTCACATCAAATACTCTTGATCAAGCTATTCCTGACACTTTTTACAAATTAGGCTTTCTGTCCTTTGCAATTGTAATAATTCAAATATATTTTAGACTTAACAAGGGTTTGGAAAGATATAATGGTCTCTTTTCTAAGTGTTCTATCACTAATTTTTAACCTGAAAAATCAGATTTTTACCATCAAAATACAACTCCACCTCAAAAAACTCTTTTCACTTTTACCCTCTAAAGAAATATAAAGCTCCCACAGTTTAAGGCTGGGCCATCTGGCTTTGCTAAGGAAATCATGTTCCATGTACAAACTTAGAGCTCTTATAATCCTCACCTGTTACCACAAAGAATTTTTTGTTTATTTATCTATATTGAACTTTCATGAGGCAAACAAAAGCAACTCGTGAAGATTTAACTCTGGTAAAAATGGCTCAAATAACTAACTTGAGAACACCAAGCCATATGAAAAGGTTTTGGTTTACATTAACTAAATGTTTGTTGGAAAGAGTGAACTGATTTCAATTAAAGCTGATTAAACAGAGAAAACAAAAAATAAGAAATGTAGACAATATTAAGACAACAGTTGTTAAACCTTATCTGTGGTATGAAAAGACAGTGGTTAACAGAAGTAAACTGAGTGCTTTGAAAGGAGAATGAAAACAAGTATGATTCACCCTCAGTGAAGATACAGGTTTAACAACATTTTTATTACCAAAGGGGGAAAAAAGAATCCTTTATAATGGACTTAACATGAAGTTCATTCACACACAGGAACAGACTATCAGCTTAGTTCTGTTAGAAGAGTGAAAAGATTTCAAAAGGTTTTCCTATATTTAGGCTGGTTATTTTCATTGAAGAAGACAAAACATATCAACTATTAGAACCACAGTATTTCAAGAAACGAAACAGAATATCATCTGCAATTACAAAAAGCTCTCATTGCTGTTAAGTTGGAATTCACTCACTGCTGAACCTCCAGCAGGGAAATCGAAGGGGAGAAGATCGACCATGTTCGTTCCCCGTAATCGCTAATGGATTCTAACTGCCTGAGAGGCACCACCTTAAAACTGGCAACGCAACTCTCTACGGATTAATGCTACCAGAGAGTAATTTCAGCTAGTCTCCAATTTCGAGCAGGGCTCCATTCCAATGACTCTATAAATTTGTTCTCCTCTAAGTAAAATATTTTTCTTTTTGTGGTTTTCATTATTATTTTGCAAGTTAACGCCAGCAAATGACACACAGCAACACTTTGTGTGGTTAATAAAAATGACAGTTTTCAGCAGTCCGTCCTAACATGAATACATGGTAAATCGCCCACTTTATCAAGGCACACCATGTCTGAATTTTAGTATATGAAACTCAAGAGCAAAGACAGAGCAAAGCAGTAGTTATGTCCATTTTATTCAGTAATGACTTTATCTTCTTCCTCGGATGGACAACTATCTTGCAAGGTATGGACAAAAGCAAAGGGTCTGGAATTAATTAAGAACTGGGCTCTAGTACTGAATAATTACATCATCTGTAAAATTGGGATAATTTCACAATAACCACATAAGTTTGTGATAAAGACCAAATGGGTTAATACACTGACAACAGTGACTGATAAACAGCACTCAATAATAATAGCAATTATTTGGGGGGGTTTTTACTTTTCTTACTTTCTCAAGTGAAACATCTTTAATAGTGTGTGTATGTGTAATAGCTTTACATTCACACACACACTGATATATGCATAATTAAATGTTGGAGATACAGAATGAACAAGACCTAAAACATACTGTCACCGAGGACCTTACATTGTCATGATATTCTCTAAGCAAAAACAGTTTTAACATCTGTCAGTTCATGTCAACCACCATCCTTTCTGTTAATGGCAGTCAGAAAAGTTCAATACCTTTGCAAACAGGATGGATCTGCTCCCAACAGAGCTTTATTCATGAACTGAAACACTGCCCATGAGATACAATCTTTGTGGGAATCAAATCCCTTGGCCTGCATTTTATTCAACTCTATGACCTGACTTTTCCATTTCAATGATGTTGATTAGAAAAAGGAAAAAAAAAATTACATAATTACAGTCAAATGCTACCCTCACTAATTCCCCAAATGCCAAGAAAAGTAGTTGGCGCCTTTCCTAAAATTTATCAAGGAAGAAAAACCTATTTCCAGCTGTCTGACTCAGAGTTTTGTTTTTCTTTTAAAAAAATAAATAAATAAAGAAGTTGCTAGGTTTGGGGAGGCCTCCCCCCCAGACCTGGAGAGTAGATAGGGCGCTCTCATGGCCTAGTTCACAGGCTTCTGTGTTGTTAACCAAAAGGTCTCACATCTCCAGTGGTTCAAATCCACCAGCTGCTCCTCAGGACTCAGGACAAAGATGGGCAGTCTTTGCTCTCTCATTAAGAAAACCTTGGAACCCTGACGGAGGGTCACTATGGAAACCCTGACGGAGGGTCACTATGGATTGGAAGCATCTTTATAGTAATGAGTTTGTGGGCCAAGTCAAGATTAGGATGGAATGCTGCAAGGCTGACGTTCTGTAAAAACCAAAGGACCGGCACTGCCAACAGAAGGGAAGCTCTATTACTCTGGGCCTGTTAAAAACCACACAAACCCACCGAAGCCTATCCGCAGTGTGTGCTTGACCAATTTCAGACTGCATTACAGGAGTGTCTCAGTCAGCGTAGGACAAGTGACAAGGTCTTTATACAGTGGCCACTGGTTGCTGTCTGGTCTAAGTCCGTGACCCAAGTGTATAGAATAGACTTGTTTCATAGGGCTTTCAAGACACATCAGGAACGCCGTCCTCCAAGGTGGTTGTAGGGCAGGTCCAAGTGCCAATCTTTCAACTAGTAGTTCAGCACTTAACTTTATGCATCATCCGGGGACTTCTAACATATTAAATATACTTAATCACATGACATTGTGAGAGGAGTCATTGTTTCTCTTCTGCTTCAAACTCTTCAATGGTTCCCTGTGGCCCCAAATAAAAAGGAAAGACCCTGTCATCGCAGATCTTTTAAAGGCCTTCATGGCCTTTATCACAGGCTGGGAGACATCACCCCCTAGGCCTCATGATCTCATTGTCTCCACTCCAACCACGATGACCCTTGTTAATTATTCTACGAATGCCAGGCTTTCTCTCTCTCTCACAGTCTCTGCAATGGCTGTTTTCCGAAGGTACCAATATGTCTCACTTCCTCATCTCCTTCAAGTCCCTGCCCATAGGACAACTCAATAGACGTGTTCTCTAATTATCTCAATCCCTATCACCTTGCTCTCTTTGTCTGTTTATTTTCTGCAGCATTATAAATAATACATACAATACACTGATAAGTCATATGGCATGTTAGAAATCGAGAAGTGCTACAGAAAAATCTCAATTTCTAATATACCATATGATTTACCAATGTATTATATTTATTATTTATTGTCATCTTCCACTACTCGAATGTCTATTAAATTATTTACTGTCATATGCTAAAAACGTGGAACAGTGTCTGCACATGCTTGGTAATAATTTATCAAAAGAATGAATAAGAACATTTTTCCATTCCGAATTCCTCATCCTTCTATCACAGTCAAATCATGAGTCTCAAATTGGCAATGACTTTCAACAATTCGCCACCATTTTCTAAACTCACTTCTTTTTTTCCCTTTGAAGAATTTTTTTGAAGAATCAATCGAAAAATTTACTCAGAGAAGTGTTCAAGGATATTTTAGTAATTTTATGAAGTCATGTAACCCATTTTAACATAAAGAAAGCAGAATTCAGTTTCAAAGTCTTCATAGGTGAGGGCACCTCCTTGAACATAATAACACTACTGTTTCCTCCAAGTATTTTTTTATTTATTTTCTTTTTTAATTTTTTTATTCGTTTTGGTTTTTTTTTTCCTTTTATACCGGTTTACTTACAAAGTTCATTCACATTGTTTTTCTGTGTATGTTTTTGTGCTTTCTTATTCTTTTGTCCACGGATAGTGGTTTTGCACATCAAATGATGTCATAAACTTTCTTTTTTTGAAGACAGTTACTCAAGTAAGAAATTAGTTGATTTAAAGAAAATGTCAAAAAATAAAGAAAAATGTCACAGATAACAATAAATACACTCAAAAGATAGTTTTAAGAAGTGAGAGTATGAATTAGAACAGTAGAGCAGGGAAAAGTTTGGCCAACAGAATCCAGAGGCTGCAAAATGGCAAATAAGCAATGAGAAGTCAGGTACTGTCTCACATGCAGGGTCCCCCTGCAATTCCCATTAGGCCTAACTGGGAGACTCTTCTTCAATGCGTGCATGTATTTCTCCTCGTCTGGCGAGGATGCACAGATGCTTCTGTTCTAGATTTCTTAGCCAGGTAATTTGTACAGTAATCTTCCAGCCTTGGAAGATAGAAATGGTATCTCCCTCTAGAACAAAGGGCAGGTTTCCTTACAGTTTTAGAGGACAGAGGTAGCACTTTGCTACAGAGCAAATGATAGGACGGTCATAAAAGATTCATACTTCCTAAATCCATGAACAACCTCTCCACACACATGTGTTTGCTATCTGGCCCATTTGAGGGTGTTCTGTAATAAAGAGGCAACTGGAGATCTGGCACAGAAATGCCAACACTCTGGCTACTGTCACTTCCAAAACCTATAAACCATGTTTTATCTCTGAACTAGGAACCCTTTCCTTTATACCAGTATGAAAATGAAGTAGATGTATTTGTTCGCTTGAAAGTAGGACAGAATCTCAGGACTCGCACAGTACTTGGAAGTCCTCACCTCATTGTGGATTTCTTCTCCTAGTTTCAAAATCGCAGGTGCCAAGGATTTCAAAGAGACATTGCCATCATCCACCTCATCACGGACGTTCTTCAGAGCCAGCTGGCATCGCTGGAAGATATAATCCAAGGTTCCGGTGGAGCACTGCCAAGGCAGAATCAGAAATCAAACTTATGAGCAACATCCATGTTTACTGGACTGTCCGCATTTGTTCACTCCCTGCTGTCCACATAGATTGGGCTATACTTGCTAATTCAAAAATTACCACTATGGGCTGTTCACTGGGCTTTATGCTGCCAATTGGACTTCATCAAGTCCACTCATCGTGTTAGCACTATATTGTTTATGTGGGGCCATATCTGTAACTAAGTAGTGGTCAGTATTCTATTCTTACATACATTTTCCAAATATTCCCCAGCACCTAGAACCTGAGTTTTTTAATTATTTCTTGGATGACTGAGAAGTAAGAAGTTCAGGTGGTGTAGTACATAATATGTTGGGTTGTTAACCAAAAGGTCAGGGGTTCAAATCTATCAGCTACTCCAAAGGAGAAAGATGAGCAGTCTCTTCACACACACACAAAAAGATTTACAGCCTGGGAAACCCAACAAAAGGTTGCTATTAGTCAGAAACAACTCCATGGCAACTGAGTGTAACTAGCCAAGTCAGGAACATTGATTGAATTTATCTCCAGTAAATACACTGAACTGAGTAATAGTGACGAAAAGCAACCAGATGGTAGAACTGGTTCAAAAGTACACACAATAGAGCAGTGACTGGCAGGGAAAAGTTAGACACAAACGGCAAAGAACTCATTTCTCTTCTGCACAAAAGGTATTTCATAGGTCAGCTGGAGTCTTTGGCAGAATATTCTTCAAATAATGAAGAAGTTGCTCACGCTCTCAATGCTCACAGTATAACTGAGTGGGTATTAGCAAGAGAACACACAACTACCTGCACGGTCTCTCTGAGTCTGTGAAAGCAAAACAGAGGTGCAATGGACAGTTTGTCACCGAATGACCAGCTGTCAGGAAGGAGGAGGATACAGATGGAGTGTGCACCCATTTGTTTTGATAACGACACGATTTCCTCAAATGACATAAAAACCCTAAAACTCTTCCAACCCATAGATAAAAATATCTCTGAAGCACATCCTTAAGATGTTTGTGTTTTTTATTTTAGCATTTTAAATTTAGTTCTTGTAAGACTGAGAAAAACTGGATGAAATATGTTTACGGCATTGAAGTCTATGGGGGAGAGAATA